CGCAGCGAAACCCTTCTAAACTCCCGCTACCTTACCTCTTTCATAAGCTTATTAAATAAGACTTCAAATAAGGTTACTTAAGTACAATACCAACCCAATCTTTTAAAACCAGAATACATTTGACAACCAATGTCAAGTAATACGAGCAACGAACAAACAGCCGCCATCGTGAATGTTAAATTCATCTGCGGAATCTTGGTTCCTTCTTCAGCATCTTTCTCGAGCGAAAACAGTCAGGTTCGAATTATTCCGACAGGAGACTTAAGCTTATATGAATTCAAAATAAAATTATTTTGGCCTTTCCATTTATCGAGAAGTACGTATGCCAGGTCAGTTAGCGAGCGGCGCACAACGCCACTCGAAGAAAATGTCGCAGTTATTGAATAATTCCGATCACTCAACGGAATTTGACGACCCCGAAAACACTTCCGAAAGGGCCGAGACTCCTTGACGCCAGCAACTTGCAAGGATCAATAAAACCAACAACAATAACAATCTTTTCCATACGAAAATAGAAGTTGCGTAAGCTTGGCGAGGACAAAATTACACAGCGAGACTCTGCAACGAGACAAAATTTCTTTTTCTCTTTAATTTCTCTTCAGGCATTACATTTAGCACTAAGTACGGGACGACAGTCGAGTCACAACATTCCACCGTACATATCCCTAAAAGTCTTAAAAAAACTAAAGAACAGTCCCGGGAACAGTTGACATCCGCCACTTAGCTTAAGACTAAAAAAATTCTTCACCAACGAATACGTAATGGCAAGCTTATAAAAAAGAACACCTGTTTTGATATCGATTATATGCTTATGTCTGTCTTTTTCATTGCTCCCATTGGAAGTTAGATCGCCTCACACGAGGAGTGACTTCGCCTTCAAGGGGTGACTTCGCTGACTTTGCTCCATGCGGCGGATCCAGGCGAAGTCACTTCTCGTGCAGGCAAAGTCACCGCGCGTGTGGGAACCGTACCGGTGGGATGATCTAATTGGGGAAAACGAACCTCACTGCTGAACGAAGTCACTATTCCTCGTGAGGGGCCATCAAACCTTTTGTTGGAACAAATTTTGGAAGCGATCTCGGTGTGCTCAACCCGTTTTATTTTATGAGAAGCATAATTCATGCCTAACTTTTTTACCTAGCGATAGAAAAGTAATTGCGCGCGGAGTCGGACTTATTAAAAAAGACATGCCACTGTGGATGGACATTTTGACAGTTCGAAGAATTCAAATGCCCCTATTCACCCTCCATTATCTACAGGAAGCATTGCGTTTATTTCTAATTAAGGAAAGTGATATTAAGCTTATTTTCCTGCTCCGTTCTCCCATCCCGAGGTGTTGATAAAAAACAGTTGATAGTGCTCTAGTTCAGGGTTAATCTGAATAGCCAAAGTCTTATCAAATTTATTCCTAACGTCAACTATTAAAAGTGTTCTAAGGCGAATAAAAAAATGTTCTCGCCTTCCCTGAAACAGTGAGCTTCTTGGAGAAGTATACTCGCATAGCTGTAGCGTTATCCTCGGTGAAGTTCTCCTCCTCGCCTTCTGCAAACTCTAACAGTACTCCTCGCATACTTTTAACGGTGGTCAAGAATGGGGGAGGCCATGTCCCTGTTTTCAAGACGGCGCTATCTCCCTCCTTTTCCAATTTTTTTACGTCTACCTGCGCGCCGCCTCCTTTTTTTGCTTTTCTTCGCCATGCGGTCTTCAGGGTCTTTTCCGCTTTGTGCCGCAAATTCTAAACCTTCTTCGTTCAGCACCTCCTCAAGCCTATCTACGAAATCACGGCTGTAGTTAAAATCTTCTTCTTGGAAGTGGCTGGCAAACGGGTGTTTTTTTGAGACATTTTTTATCCTTACCCAAATGATCA